TACCAAATTGCCCTGTAGCCTGGAATAAGACCCTCAGTGGGAAAGTTTGCTATACAATATGTGATCCCCCTTCCCAAAAGACTTTAAGAATAAGACTGATAAGAAGGCATAACTGCAAAATTAGAAAGAGGTCCTTATTAGTTCCACCTCTGTCATGATCTCAAGATGAGCAACATAGAGACAGAGGAGGATGCCTAAGCACTGAGGCATGAGACAATTGTCACTCCTGTGGAGTATAAGCTACAATATTAACCCCATAGCAGCAGCTATAGTGGCAGTGGATAACACAAAACATGTTGTTACCATGCAGCAAGGCAATAAATACAGGAGAATCAACAGTTCACAAGTAAAACTCAGCCACCACTGGCAACTGGAAGTGTTAGAAGTGGAAAAGGATGTGGACTTTGTAGGAGGTTGGAAAAGCAAAGCCTGTGGGAGACAGTGGTAGAACCTAAGGAATATGAGTTTAAACTAAATAGTGGCAGGAAACACTGGCTATGTTCATATGAATAGGTCAGATAGGACCAAGGTCCAACCCCAAGCAGTAGAGGTCATCAATCCTCTATTTAATTGGTTGCATGCTGCTAACATGGTTTTAGCCTGTCCCAGCTTCTGTTCTTCCAAACGCTGTTTGACTCTTGCTAGGGACTACATAGACTAAGATCTCTTCCCAAAAGGCAGTCCAAATGTGGCATACTCTGGTTTGAAGGAGGAGGGAGATTGGTGCATGGGTGCAAGTTGAGCCATGCCAGTTGGCCTCAGGGCCAGCTGCTGATCTCTTGTATTTACCAGTATAGGCATAGTCACTGATGCCAAGAGAAGACAGGGAGAGACAAAAGAGATATGAGGTTGAGGACTAGGCAAAAGAAAAGTGCAGAGGAGATGGGCAAAGAGGGCTCATCTCCTCTGTCTCCCAAATAAAAAAATATTCCAAGGTTCAAGTGGGGAAGTGGTTGAAACAATTCAAGTAGTATACTCCTTGTTTACACAGTGTCTCTTTAGAATTTAGATTTTCAAGACATGGACTAATTGTCTCTGATCCACATTAGGTATATGTGCAAAGGAAGTGTCATCATTAATACCAAAATGCCAGAAAATACCAGCCCCTGACTTGTTGAAATACTTTTGGGTCTGTAGTAAATCTAAAACCTACAAGATTTTTATTTTTCTCTTAATTCAGTGTGAGAATGAGGAAGAGTGTAGAGAAATCAAGAAGACTCATTTAGAGAGAGAGAGTTCTTCACGATTAGCTGCCTCTGCCCATAGCATCACAACAGCAAACCACTGCAATATGAATGAAAATAGGTAAGCATTTTCCTTCTTATTTACCACTGAGTCATGCAACTAGTTGCATTTAATGCCATGTGCTATTTTTTCTTTTAATAGGATTTGGTTTTTAATTATCACATTTTATGTTGAAAAATTGCCCACTGCATTGTCCTTTCTTCTGGTTTAATGAACAAGATGGCAGCTCCTGACACATTTATACGCTCACATTTTTGTCCTATTGCACAAACAAGTTGTGAATTCAAGTGTGAGGTTCATGGAATGAGTAATTATAGATTATAGATAATTATAGCAGTGTGATCATCCGAGACATATTCCCAAACGCTATGCTGTAGGTACCAATTCATATAGACAACAATCTTATAACCTTTTCTTACGGTGATACAAGTTTCAAAGTTAAAGTTTGGCTGTATGTCTGGGTTAAAATACAATTATCTATCTATCTAATACAGTTATCTATAAGCTCTATGGAAAAGACTGAGAAAAATATTCATAGCAATGCCTGCGGTACTCAGTTGCAGAGTATATTTGAGATCCGGTATTTCTGAGGCTACAAGCAATCTATCCTGTGTAATTAGTAAGTCTTTTAGGACAAGGAACTCAGACTTTAAAAACAATGAAATTTTCAGAGATGTAGGGCATGAAACAAATGATGAATGTTTAGCATTTGCTGGCATGGTTTATGCACACAGACCCCTATGACTGTCAGATCAAACATATTGAGTTTCTCTGGAGGCTTTCTGCAGTCAAACTCAGGCATGCATCTTTTCAGAGTTCAGCTGCATGCTGCTCAGTACATGCTGGCCATCAGTATTTAAAAAAAAATTATTTTATGGTGGTATCAGTGCATCTCTTGGGGTGAAACTGCTAAAATTAGAAAATATTTGTATTTACTCTAGTAGGCTTTTCTACTGTACACATCACTGATGAGCTTGAGCAATTCTTGTCTTTAATACTGGAAAAAATCATGGGGAAAACTAATATATACATATAGTGCTTATTTTAAAATATGCATTCAATTTCTTTGTCCTGACATGTCACATATGTTTCATAAAGTGAAAACAATACACAGAACAGTCTGTTTTATGGTGGGTGATTGCATGCAGGCATGCCATTCCTGTTACCGCTGCGTCGTATGTTTTACATCACATTCATTTTCAGAGAATAGGATGTCTGTCAGAGCTTGCTGTGTCACAGGGTTAATTCTGTGCTTCCTGGAAACAGGACAATAATTTGTGTTTTGCTTGACATTATATTCAGTACTCCTGGTAGCAACTGTACATTAAAGAAACAAAGAAGGTCTTAAATATATATTTGCCTCCTAATTCTTCCCTGGTCTGCCCTGCTTCCAAGATGTTTGTGTGGTTTATGCTACCGTAGGACTCTTGCAATCAGCAGCTGCTCATGCTGGCATATCCCCCCTATAGCTATGCCACTGTCGCTGCCTGTGAGGGTATCGTGTAGTTTCACTCAAGAAACTTATCTGAAACCTGAATTCTTTATTAATTTATTTATTTTTGCCCTAGTTGTTATTATCCAGCTCCCAGCAGAGCCACACAGACAGTTTTGCCAGCACAGCTGAGGGCTGGTAGCAAAGAGAGGAGCAAAACCATCTTCAGACGTGAGCATTTTCTGCTGTGGAGTTATAGTCTACAGTGCAGACTGAGCAAGGCTCCGGTTGACAAGAAAGGCTGCAGTGTCAAAAAAAAGGTCAAAACCCCAAATAGCTTGTGCCTATGTAAGGTGCCACAATCTGCCTGCTGCCAGCAGACCAGAGCTCACTGCAGGTTGTGCTGCACGGCTTCTCAGTCTGGTTGTGTGGTTGCCATTTGACTGCTCACAATACACTTAGGTGGGCCCAAAGTGATGTGCTGGAGGCCATGTAGAAGGTCTGCAGCCCAACTAGAAACTGCAGCTACTCCTCACAAGCTCTGGGCCAAGCTTTTGAGGCTTGGGTATGCTTCCAAAAAGCAATGGTTTCTCTTGGATGTGTTAGGCTGGCATTTTGACAGTGAATACATCCCATGGCTGGTCAAGGCATGGGTTTACATTTGAAAAGAGGGAAAGAAATTACAGCATCAGCCTGCACATTCAAAATAGTACTAAAGATCTTATTTTTCTTTGTGAGAGAAGAAGGGCACAGTCATCCATCTTACACACCCTGATTCTTGCTTTCGTAAGCAGCAATGGTGATTAAAGCAAAAGAGTTCACATTGTGTTTTAAAGGTACTACGCTGTGGGAAAAGGAAAGGTTCTGAATTACGATTCATGGCCTTTTTCACAGTTAGTATTTAAAGACTTGTCAGATAAATGGACAAATGTATAAGAGCACATTTAATTAGCTCTGTTCCCTGAAATGATGTGCAGAAATAAAGTATAGTTTGTACCATATTCTTTTTTGCGATTCCATTAAGTGTATACTGTCTGATACAGTAACTATAAAGAAGTGAGGATTGTCCATAAAAAGTAATAGGCTGAATAAAGGGGAGTGTGACAGGGAGCGGTATTGTGTTAAAATAGTCTGTCTGACCTTTATCACAGTTTTAGACTTAATGCAAACTGTCTCCTTAAAAGAACTTTTATTTTGTGTGTGTTGCTTTAAGATTTTCAGCTAAATATTTTCTTCAAATTAGTGCATCTGAAGTTTATTTCTGAACATATTTTTATGGTCTGTTTGACTTCTCCTCATCCAAAGCTTCTCCCAAATAAATGAAAGTTGAAAATACTGTCTGTGTTATAGCTTCCTTCTTTAGAAGACGGAGCAGCTCACATTTCTCTCTCCACTGCTTGCATATGTTTCCTTTTGTCTACAGTACCAGCTTTTCTTTGTCTTCAAAATCTGTATGAGATTAGTATAAACAGTGCTACCAAAGGCTGAGCATTGAGCACAAAGACAAGCCAGTCATCTTTAAACACATTTCCGGTTTTAGTTCATATATGGTTTCATTGCCATGGCTTATAAATTGTCACCTGTGATGGTGAAATAGGGCTCCATATCCCAAACTTACACTTCAGAGCCTAATCTTCATCTCCAGCTATCCCTTAAGAAATGGTGAGCAAGTGGCAATTTATCTCTATTTTTTTTCAAGTACTCTGATACAGACTTTATATTAACTCCAGAATTACGATTTGCCTTGAAGGGCAAGAGGAGAAACATGATACAAATTTGTAAATGAACGCTTGGTCCCAATACTGTAAGCTCGTTTCCAGATACCAATAGACTTTATCCTGCCAGCAGGTTTTAAATCCAAAGTTTTGGTAATATATAAAACATTTACCTTTCTCAAAGCCGGCTTTGTGACACTCCATTACTGTAATTTCCATTTCCAGCTTGGCAATACCAATAAATAAAAATGAGAAAATGCTTCGGTCACCCGTCTCTCCCCTCTCTGATGCATCAAAACACAAATACTCCAGCGATGATTTAACTTCCTCCAGCAGACCTAATGGCAGCAGTCTGTTACCTTCCATCTCCTCCAGCAAAAAACATAAGGGTGAAATCCAGTCACAGCCACATCCTGGAGACTTCAATGTAAGTTTATGCTGTTGTTCACAGTACAAAGCCTAGCTGTGTATTTTTCACTTTGTATTGCAGTCTGTGATAGTTTTGCAGAATGTTATGCAAAAAAAAAATTGTAATAATGAATGTTGTGTTATAAGTTCAGTTTTTCCAGTTTGGAGTTTAGCAAGGCACAGAAGAAAGGAAAGAGGGCAGGCTGGATAGTGGGCACATAAAAAAGGCTACGTGAGCAAAAGTTAAAAGCTAATGGCCCAAAACAAATGGCTTTAGGCCTCCAGAGAATCGCTTGGGCACCATGCAAGCCCCCTAAATCCAGAAGCACAGTGTATAAGGTGCACCTCTATTGTATAAGGCCTCTACTGAGCCACTGCCTAACCCTGAGTGTGCTTGCAGACAAGGTCTCCTACGTGTCTTAAAACCAACTTCCTCAGACACTTCTACGTACTCTTGATGCCAGTGAAAAGCTTAGCACCAGACTCACATTTAAGCACACTTGATCACACCAAATGTGACCAGAGTGCCCTTCCAGATAAGGCCTCATTACTGTACAGTGTGTTAGCCACTGTCGTCAGAGCACAGAGCAAGATACTCATGAATGAGCTCTGGGATTAGGATGCTGGAGTAAAGAGCCTGTTAGCACTTCTGGTGAGGGAAATCACATATCTCTCACCTCTCAAAATAGTACCTTACGCTTCAGCCTACAGGACACTGTGGGTAAAAGATCAAGGGCAGAATATTGTCACGTCCTCCCCTTGAAGCTGTTCTGCTCTATGTGAAATTCCTAGTTTGAGTACCATCATATTGATGTCCACTGCTGGAGCATCTGCTCAAGCTGTTAGTGCACTGCTGCTGCTGGAAAGGCCCATGCTCCTCTCCTTGTTACAAAAGTCATTCATATATTTTATGCTTTATCTCTTTGTTGTATTTGTTATTTGATACATAAGAGGCTTCAAAAGCCTAAGTGTTAGTGCCTAAGCAACCTTCAGGAAAACAAACTACCTGAGTTTTAACAGTGGTCTCTTCCAGCCACTTTTGCTGTGGGGATAACCAGCCCCACAGTATATGTTAAGTATATGTGTATATACTTAAATATATTTATTTTTTGAGAGTGGAGGGGGAAGTAGTAACTATAATATTAATTTTGGACACTTCAAATTATCAAAAACTGTAATTCAAGAATGTCTCACAGATAGTAAAATGAAATAAAATTAATTACATAAAAATACTCCAATAAAAAGGCATTTTAACGTATCATAGTTATTAATTTATTTTTATGGATTAATTGTAAATTTTAAAACATTTTATCTTCTAAAACATAAGTTTAGAGGTTTATAACCCATTCGGAATTATAATGATATGATTCTTCACTGGATATCTTGAAAACAATTTAAATTCCTTCACAGGCAAATGTGCTGGAAATCAAAAGTAAAAGGTGATTGCTTTATGATCCACACCCTTAGCAAATGCGTTTCACTGAATTTTTCTGCATAGCCTAGCAATGCACCATTTGGTCAACACTTTAACAACCTTTGCAATAAAATTCTGATGTATCTGTTTATTCATCTGAAAACTTTAGCCTGCTGA